TTGTCCTGTTCTTGTTTACTTTCATGGCCGTGGACTTTTCTTCATTTTCAGGTGAGTACTTTTTCTTTATTGGTTCGTTTCCACTACTTTAGGTCTTTCATCTTCTATCTGTTTCGTATGTTTGGAAATGTGAGCGCCACTGTTACGTCGTTATATCTGCAGAAAATCCGTGATATTTCAGAGTACTTAGTCGTGTATGTTTCTTTTTCGATCCTGAAAATTTATTTTCATTCCGTGCAAAATTATATTTTTTATTTTTTATTTTTGATTTTTCGATTTTTGATTTTAGCTTTATATTCCGAGTCGTGTGAATTTCTTGACGTATTTTATTCCGGACTTTCAGTTTATATCCGTCGATTTGGTGCTTCTTGCTTTTCCAGGTACTCCTGGAATTTATTTCGGACGTTTGCGTCCCTGCAGTTTCGTATGAACGCAAGCATCGCGGTGCGGGTTATCCTCCATGGGTAATCCATGAGTCGGAGTTCCAGTCCGAACAGGTCAATCACGGGCGGTAGATCCGCCATCTCGTATGTGTTAGCTACCATTCGATGAAAAGTTATGAAAATCGTCAAAGTCTTGGTTCTCTCAGAACCCAGCACTCCTGAAGTGACGCAACGTCCTGAGAGAGAGAGAGAGAGAGAGAGGTTGAACGACAAAATTGAAATATAGGTCAAATTGCGGCCGAAATTTATTTCGCAGTTGGAATGATTTTTTAAAATTTATGTAGCGTTTGTCCTGGAAAGATCACAACAAAATTTACAAGTACTCCAATTTTTAGGTTTTTTCACGCATTCTTCTGAGCGCGAAAACTCATTGAATTCGGAGTATTTTTTTTGTTGGCCCAGGCATGGCTGAGTGGCAAAAATGGAAAATGTGCTGAATCGGCGCGATAATTATTTCGCAGTCAAATGATTTTTTATAAATGTTATATTATTATTTGTGGAAAGAACACGACCTCATCTATGAATTCTCAAAATTTCAGATTTTTTTGCATGTTCGTCTGAGCACAGAAAATCGCCAAAGTTGCCTCTTGCAAAACGCCTGTTTCGTTGTGCCTGACCTCCCTGTTTTGAGAAGACGGGGCTCAACGCCTAGGCCTGAGGGCCCTTTTGCAGATCACATGCCCTCACTTCTCTTTGGGGTCCGCTTCTATCCGAGGACCGGTCCAATGCCCCCACTTCTTTTTGGGGTCCACTTCCACCTGTAGGTAGTCCGCAATTTTGCGAAGGACCGGTCCCCCAAATTTTTTTGCCCCTGAAAAACCCACTTGCGTCCTGGTCGCCCGCTGCCAAAAATGCGACACCTTGACACAGACGCCGAAGCCCACTATACCGCAGCCCTTACTCCCCACCAAATGTGCAAAATGGGAATGAATCTTCTCCTAGAACATTGGAAGATACAATTGTCTACCGCGTGGGCGCGGGGAACGCAGCCCTAAGGTAGCCAAATCAATGAGACTAAGAGCTAACACAAGATGGATAGATAGATATATATATATATAGATAGATAGATAGATAGAGAGAGAGAGAGAGAGAGAGAGAGAG